TAGCCACTTTGGAAAACAATTTGACAGCTTCTTATAAAGTTAAACATACACTTATCATACGACACATTAATCCTACTCCGACGTATTTACATATCTAAGTGATATGATCACACAAAAACTCGTGTTCGAAAGCTTAAAGAAGCTTTATCCGTAATTGCCCCAAAGTGCAAACAACTCAAATGTTCTTCAGCTGGGGAAATGGATAAGCTGTAAGCACATCCATACAACAGAAGAGCAGTCAGCAATGAGAAGGGACAAATGACAGACACATGCAACATGGAGGATTCTCAAAGCATTATGTTAAGTTAAAGAAGTCATATTCAAAAAGCTATACACTATATGATTCCACTGATATGAGATTCTGGAAAAGGCAAAACTATAGGGACAGAAAACAATTCAGTAGTTGCCAGGGGCTGGGGGTGGGAGGAGAGGCTGACCAGAAAAGGACAGCACAAGGGAATCCGGGGGTGATGACAGCGTTCTGTATTTTGATTGTGGTGGTGGCTATATGACTACATGTAATGGCTGAAATTTGAAGAATTGTTCACTAAAAAGGGTGAATTTTACAGTATTCAAATTATACCTGAATTTTAAAAATGGAAAAACTGCAACATGTATTTAATATATTTTGAAATATACTTATTTTGTATGCTAACTAAAGTTTCTAATATAAACAAGTGCAAGAATGAAGGAAGATTGTTTCTATCTAGGGATCCTCTCAACTTCCGACAGATCCTATGTCTCACAGCCCTGTCTGAAAAAGGTATGTATTTAATGTACAAATTGAAACTACACGCTTTTCCAAAAGAATGTGATTCTTATACAGGAACATGAGGAGAAATTGCTAACAGCTAGGAAACAAGAAAAACAGTACATTTTGTAATCCTTGCGTCTTTGTAACACACTGACGAAACTTCAGTGAACAGGAGTAAACAGTGGATTACAACGTGGATTTACATAATTGAAACATCATCTATTAATATAAAATAGATACAGAATGCCACCCCACAAATGAAATGCTCCTTTCTCTTACAATCTCTTTGCAAGATAGAGAGCAGGAAAAAACTACATTTTATAGAAACAAATAAAGAAAAAAAAGTAAAGAAATGAGTAGCACTGGAAACAGAAGTTGGGTCAGACTACAAATGGTCCATGTGTTCTTCAGGTCGATTCTTCCACCATCTGCGCCTCTTTCAAGAAGTTTATCTGAGGCTCTGCTTTCTCCCTGAAAACCCTGGCCCCACAGGACACAGGTAGTCTATCTCTTCTCAAAATCCCCTAACACTTTTACTGAACTTCTTTGTGGATCTTTTCATAGTGATAATATTTACTGAATCTACTGCATGCCAAGAACTGTGCTAAATGCTATACCTGCTTTACCTCGTTTAATACTCATGGAACCCCACAACGTAGATGCTGTTATTACGCATTTTATAGATGAAGTGACTGAGGCACAAAAAGCTTCCATTATGTGTGGTGGATCAGAATTTTATCCCAGGATGTCTAATTCCAGAGCCTATTCTCTGAATCACTACACACAAATCCTAAGTCATTCATTCAACATTTACTGAGTACTAAGCACTAACTCACCCACTAAGAATAGACATAAGAATAAGACAAGGTCCTACTCTCCCCTGAAGGGGATGGGTCTAGTTGGGTAAGACCAACACAAAGACGTGCAATATACGGAGTCTACCCTAAGTGTGTCAGGGAAGTAACGAGAGCCACAGGGAAAGTGCCTCAGGATTGTCTATGTCTGTCACAACAGTTTGAGAGCGGTCCCATATTTTAGCTGTCCCTGTTTTCCCCCATAGTTCCCAGCAGGCTCTGAACAAACATTTGTTGAATGAACAGCTGAAGTTGACCCCTCTCCTCTACTTTTGTTGTGCCTGTACCTACCGCCACTCTAAAACTCAACTCAGAAGGATGTGACAAGAAGCCAAAAACTACACTTATCTTGCTCTCCATCGTATCCTTACTAACATGCATTCATTCAATAAATATTTACTGACTGCCAACTATAAGCCAGCCACCATTCTTGGTATGGGATACAGGGGTGAACATGTCAGATAAAGACCCTGCTCTCCTAGAAGCAACATTCACGTGGATGAAACAATCAAACAAGTACCAAAAAATGAAAATTAAACAATACCATTTCAGATCATTTTAAGTGCTATGAAGGAAATAAAATGAGGAAATATATTAAACAGTGACTATGGGGTGTTAATTTAGACTGGGAAGACTAGACTGTGAAGATGACATTTAAACTGGTACACGGTGATTAAAAAACATCTTTATTTTACTTTTATTTGTAGACGAAAAAGGCAAAGCTAGAAACCCCATGCAAAATTAGAAGCCAGAATTAACCTGTCATTGACAAAGAACTGCAATTTTTTTCCCCCAAAACTTATACCTACCTCAATGGTCATAGGAATAGGACGCTGTTCACAGATTCACCAATTTTATGTAAAATTGGCTTGGTTTTATTTCGGTAAACAGTGGCTTTGCTTTATTTCAGAAAAGAAATTTTGGTATATTGCATATTGATTTTTTTGTTTATCTTCATGCTTGCTTCTAAAAAAAGGGGGTGGGGGGGCCGGCCCTGTGGCTTAGCGGTTAAGTGCGCAAGCTCCGCTGCTGGCGGCTCGGGGTTCGGATCCCGGGCGCGCACCGACGCACCGCTTGTCCGGCCATGCTGAGGCTGCATACCACGTACAGTAACTAGAAGGATGTGCAACTATGACATACAACTATCTACTGGGGCTTTGGGGGGAAAAAAAGGAGGAGGATTGGCAATAGATGTTAGCTCAGAGCTGGTCTTCCTCAGCAAAAAGAGGAGGATTAGCATGGATGTTACCTCAGGGCTGATCTTCCTCACAAAAAAATAAATAAATAAATAAAATTAATAAAAATAAAAATAAAAAAGGGGTCGGGGAGGAGGACTAACGAACCACCTGCATGAACAAGGGTCCTGGCAAAAGGATGGTAAAACCGGATTTCTACAACACTTAGGGGTTTTGTTTTAAAAGCCCCTTATTCAAATATAACATTTGAAAGAATGTAACATGTAACATAACATTCTATATTTCATAACTCTTTGAAAAGGGTATTGGAAAGAAATAGCATATCTAGAATAATGAAGTTGTTGTTTTACTAATGTTGGAAGGAAATGGACACTAGGTTTTAAAAAATTAATTAACACTGATTTTGACAAGTCCTTTAACTGCTCTGAGCCTTCATTTCTTTCCCACAGGTAAAATGAGGGTGTTGACATCAGAGGATCCCTATGGGTCCCTCCAGCCCTGAACGCGCTTTGATTGGCCTTAAAAAATAGAAGGTATGTGATTCAGAACCTTTACTGCCTCGGGAAGCAGTTGCTATAGTGGGCACTTTAAAAACTTGCTCCTTTGGGGTTCAGTTTTTATAACAATTTTCTTCTGATATAACAGGTCAGATGAGGTTGTACAACAAGTGGGAATATTTCCTATCTATCAACAAAAAGAATGTGGAAAACAAAACAGTTATGATGCTCAAAAGGAACACTAAAAAGCCAAAAATATTTGATAGCAAAAAAAAAAAAAGAGAGAGCGCGCACTATAATAGGAGAGAAATCATTGGAAAGGAAACTGTAATTTCCACCATTTTTATTCTATTTCCTTTCTTATCCTCTCCTACAGAAAAAAGCCCAGTTTTAATTTCTCTTAATTCCAAAGAGGCAGCAAAAGCCACAGCAATCTTTACACATTTTTTTGTTAAAGAAATAGCCAAAATATTGCAGAGGTGCTATTTGTCTACCCATATCACCAATCCTATTTAGCACCGGGACGCTGTTTTCCAAATATTACCCTCAGCCCTCACTCCGCTGCAGCCGACACTCACCACCATCCATTTTTAAAAATCCCTTTACGCTGAGCCTTTCATCCAAACCCACAAACAACCATTTCCTCCCTCCAACAGTGGTTTGAACTGCCCGAAGCCTTCAGCCAACCAAGGGCAGAGTCCTGCAAACAGGGAGACTGCAGACTGCGGCGCTGGGCAGGGCCACACTTCCCGCCGCACACTGAACCTTTCCTCGTCTCCCCTGTGATTTAAGAGGGTTCAGGACCCTGATAAGACCCCGCCCTTGAAGCCAAGAGCCTGGAGCGGGAGGAGGAGTAACGCGGCCTCAGCCCAGCAGAGCCAAGCCTTTGGAAAGCAGCTCCCCGGGCTGAGCCGGCGCGCGCGGAGCCGCTCCCAGGTGGGTCTCCGCAGCCGGGGACGGCGGCTCGGGCTCCCGGGGGGAGGGGGCCGGCGGAGGAGGGCGCAGGCTGGGACTCGCTCGTCACGATTCACGAAGGAGGGTGGGAAAGAGGGAGGGACTGGAGATGGAAAAAGGAGGGGAATCAGGGAGCTTAGGGAATAAAGAAGGCAAGGAAAGAGAGGGGAAAGGGGAGGAAGGTAACGGGAGTGAAGAAGAATGGGGGAGCAGGGGAGGGTGATGGGAGCGGGGGAGGGTAATGGGCTGCAGGCGGTAAAGGCGAGGTGAAGGGAGGAAGAGGGCACGGAGTAAAGGGGGATGGGGTGAAGGGGACATAAATGGGAAGACGGGGGAGATGGAGTGAGGGGGAGAGGGAGGTAAAGAAGGAAGAGAGGGATGGGGACGAAGGCGAGGGATGGGGACGAAGGGGAGGGATGGGGACGAAGGCGAGGGATGGCGATGAAGGCGAGGGTGGGATGAAGGGTACGGATGGGGTGAAGAGGGGAGGGATGGGGGAACGGGAGGAATGCGCGAAGGGGAGAGCGGGGGAAGAAGGCAAGCGGGCGCGGGCGGCAGGAGGCCGGGAGGGACTTCCCTCGAAGGAGGGCGGCGCCGGAATAACGGGACCCTCCCGGCCCGGAGCCCCCGGCCGGGCGGGGCGCGCAGCCAGCGCGGAGGCCGGGGCGCTGCGGGCAGGGCCGGCCGCGGCTCCTCTCAGACAGCCGCAGCCCCCGCCCGCGGGCAGGACCCCGACTCCACTTACTCTCTCCGACCACGGCTTTGAGGCCGATGGGGGCCATCGCGCTGCGCGAGTCTCCGGGCTCCGAGCCTTCTCACGCGACGCCCGCGGACACCGCCGCCTCCCGGGCCGGCACTCTCTGCCGTCTGCAGCCCGCCGCCCCGCAGCGGCGCTCGGCATCGACTGACGCGCGGACTCGGCGCGGCGGCGCGGCGCGAGCCAGAGCGAGGCTGCAGACCCGCCGGCGCGCGCGGGGGGGCGGGCCGGCCGGGGGCGGGGCCTCGCGCCAGCCGTCGGCTTCATCCGCGCACCTCCGCCAATCGCACTGCGGCCTTGGGGCCCGGCCCCGCCCCCCGAGATGCGGCTGGGCGCGAGGCGGTCCCTGGCTGGCGAGAGAGCCGCGCCCTCCCCCTCACCTCACGCGCCGCGCGTGCCCGGCAACCGCGCGCTCCCGGGACGCAGGGTCCTAGAGTCCCCTCCGCCGCCTCCGCACCTGAATTCCTGGCCAAAGGCTACTGACCCGCACCATCTTCCCGAAACTCCGCTGTGGTCCTGTCTTTCCTCTTTCTAGGAGCCTTCCATTTTTCCCGTACCCACAAAAGGAACTCAGACGCTAGATCTCTGATTTGTTGTGCCCACTCCCAACCACAACATAACGTGAGGTTTATCGACACCATCTCTATCTCTCTGGTTACCTATATCCATAAATCCACCATTGACTGAGCTCTTAGGTGTCAAGCTCCATGCTAAGCGCCTTACATGCATCATCTCATTAAATCCTCGCCAAGCTTGGGCGATGTTTTTCATCTCCATTTTCAGATGAAAAAACTGAGGCTCAGAGAATTGAGCACCAGACTTGGGCTCAGGCTGTGTATTAGCAAATACTTATTGTTCTCCCACTACGATATGTAAACCGATATTCTGGGCATTGGAGCTACAGCCATGTACAATGCAGACTCAGGTCCCAGTCTTTGGGCACTCAAAGTCTAGAAATTTCTAAGTCCCAAATCTGATAGGAATTTGCTGTGGGACAACTCTGGTCTCAGTATCTCCTTCCTGGAGTCCACATTTACCAAAGTGGTCCCAGGTCAGTTTTCACTGGGCTTTCACTGTTGATGGGAGAAATTACTTTTGAAATATGGGACTGGGCTCACCTCTGGCTTCAAAGAATAACAAATGAGTTGAGCCAATTAAACATCACGGAAAAGGATCAAACAAAATAAACAGGAGAGCTAGTAGTCGTAAAATCAATGAATACTCATTACGTTTTTGGAACAGCTCTGTGAGCTAGATCCTTTTCTTAATATTATTAAGAACTACAATAATATTTTACAAATGAGGAAATTGAGAATCAGAGAGGATAAGCGCTTTGCTAGTAAGTGACAAAAGAAAGATCCGATTCTGGAATCTGAATTCTAAAGCATAATTTTATACTGAGCAACAACTAAAGAAGCTGAGGCCTAAAGGAGGACTTTCCCAAGGTTATGCGATGAACAATGGCTGAGCCAGGAAAGAGCCACATGTGCTAGTTCAGATACCAGCCCCAGGGCATGAAGATTTGACTATCTTCTCATCCCCACCCCAACCTACCCCAACAGAATCTTCATATGACTTCACAGAGAAAATGTTCATCTGTCATCTCCCCATGTCTCAGCTCTGCCTTTTACCCAAGGAAGGTATTGACAACCTTGGGTGTATTTGGAGAAGGAGGAGACAGTTTGTAAATGTGAGGGGACCTAGGATGCACTGTGATGCCACACGGTTCCTCCTTAGCCAGCTGGGTGTCAGCAGAGACTGTCCTCAAGGAGCTGGTATGCCAGCTGAGGAGACGGACAAGAATCAAGGAGTCATACACGGCATTGAGTTACCGTTCTAATAAGTCCTGAAGCAGAGGACAGGGTGCTGTGAGAGGGAATGATCCAGGGGATAGGGTTGGGGGCAGTCGGGACAGGGCTCCTGCAATGAGTAAAAGCGAGCAAGGGGGGCCTGGGAGAGTGCCCTAGGCAGATATAAAGAAGGTGCAAAGACCAGGTACCAGAAAGGAGTTTGGCTTTTCCAGGAACAGAGAGGGGGCCGGTGTGATTATAGGGGAGAGAGTCTGAGGGGCAGGGTGCGAAGGCAAGCACCTGGGGGGGGGAGACCTTGCTGCAGGGTTCCAAGACTTTTGGGTGGCCTCAAATCTGTGTGAGGACCTCCTCAAAGGTCACAGCAAATAAAATATAACAGCTCCTTATTTTCTGCAGAAGGACAAAAAAAGAAATCTTTTCCTGCAGATGTGTACCTGAGATGTTCACTACGGTTGGCAAAAATCAGAAGGGTTGTTATTTTAAATAGGATGTTGAAAAAGTGAGTGGGGTGACAGACTGTGAACTCACTCAGGAACGCCTGACTCTGGAGTGGTGGATTGGAATCTCTCTGGTTGCAGAATTCAAGACCTGGTTTGAGACCTCTTCACATCTCTGAGCCTGGTTTTTTCCATCTGTGAAACAGGGACAATAAAACTTCCAGGCAGGGTGGCTCTGAGGAGCCAGCGAGATGACCTACACCATAGGGTAAATGCCCCCTGAGCCATCACAGATACTACCCTTTGCTCTGTATTCTTTATTTGCATATACGATTGATACACGCCAGGCACCACGCAAAGGGCTCTCATGAATTTTCATTGAATTCTCACTACATCCCCACGAGGTGGGTGCTATTATTATTCCGTTTTCTTGGGGCGCAAGGAGGTCAAGTCACTTGCCCAAGGTCACACGGCTCCAAGCGCAGACCCGAGACTCGCGCTCCGACTTCTTGATGCCCAGGAGAGAACGTCCAGCGCCCAGGGCAGCCCCAGTGCCCTGACCTAAGGAGACGTTTGGCTGTGTGGACAGCTTGCTGGGAGCGTTATCAGCAACGGGAACCCGAACCTCTCGGGAGTCCGGACCCAGGCGAGTCCACCGCCGGGAGACCCAGTCCAGCCTGCGGGTGGGGCTGGGCTGCGGCCCCAGGATGCTCTGGGCTGGTCTATGGTCCCGCTAGCCCCGGGCGCAGGTGCGCCTGCAGATGCGCATGCGCGGCCTGCAGCTTCTGCAGAGCTGGGGTGCAGGACAGCCGCTGGGAGTGGGCAGAATCCTGTGATTTACGCACGGGTCACGTGACGGCGGGGAGCCTGTTTGCGGCTTGGCGGCTGCGGGGGGAGACCGCTGGTGGGGAGACGGATGCACAGCCCGGGCGGAGAGAAGCTGGGGGTGAGGGCAGAGAGAGGCCTGGAGGGACCGAGGACGAGGAGAGGGACAGACTAACCAGAAGAGGCATTGGGGTGGACCAGGGAAAAATAGAACCTGGGTGCAGTTGCCCCCACCAGTTGGAGAGCCCTCGATCCGGAGTCTGGGCCTCCTCTCCTGCAGTCTCAGGCCTGCACCTGTCTCCTTTCTGCTTTTAAGCCGCGTCATCAGCTGCATTTTTCCTTGTTCACCCCCATCCCCTCCTCCTGGCTGCCGGGCCTTGAGATTCCGCTACATTCTTTTAGAAGCAGTTTCTAAAGAATTCCACAAGATATATTTATAAGGTTCTTTACCTAATGCTAGGAACCTAGTAAGGACCCAATGAATGTTAGCTACTAAGATCGTTAAAAATGACATAACATGAGGCTGAATAAGTCAGTGCTAAATACAGTTACCGGGAATTCAGTTGGTGGCCTGCCTTTTTTGCTGCTGTAGATTCATTAGCAGAGATTGAAAAAGTAATTGTCTCGCCGCAGTCCCCTCGTCCCCCCAACAAAGAGCAGCTGGGCCCAGAGTGCTTGAGTTTGGTGCATCTTTGCCCCACGAGTGAGTTAACAGTTTTTTGTGTTTGACTCAGAATACAATATCAAAAAGGCTTTGTTTTCAAAAGCCTAGGCCAAGGTCTCAAACTCAAAGGACTGTAGGGGCCACGAAGAGGTGAGTAACATCACAGATGTGGCCAACTGTAGAGCACAGGCCTTGCCCAGAGGGCAGTCCTTAGTCAGCTCCAACCAGTGGCTTCTATGCAGTGACCAAGGGTCTTGATAGTAGAAATTAGGTGACATCTTCCACTGTTTAAGTGTTGCAATGGATTAAAAATTTTTAATAACTGCCTTCTACCCCACTCACGTAGAGACCCCTAGCGGACAGGGGTAGTGGTGGAGGGAATGCCTGGGCACCAAGCACCGGAACCTTCCCCCTCAGTCTTGAGAGCCGAGAGAGTCCCTCTGCTCAGCCTGGCTCTGGGGCCGCAGGTTGGGGCCAGCTACTTCTGAATGGACTAGTGAGCACTGCGGTGGAAGCCTCTGAGGACAGCTGGTGTGGGCAGCTCTGTTTCGCCTCCACTTTATTTGCATATACTTTTGAAAGCCCCAGAGGTGTGGTACATGCCCAGGAACAAGGAGGGAGCCCCCAAAGTGCCAGATAGTAGAAGTCGCAGTTGCCTCAGACACTGGGGGCTTAAAGCTGGTTTTATTCAATCTAGAAAAATAAAGAAATGTGGCATTTTTTACACTTTGGGAATCAGAGAACAATTCGTGTGTTTTACACATTAAATTGTTGTGGGATCTTAGAGGAGAGAGATTTCATTCCAACTGGGGAAATAGTTTTGATCAGATGTGTTTTGTTTCTGTCCAGTTTGGCCAGAAAGCTTCGTGGAAGATGTGGCATTTGAGCTGAGCCCAGAAGCTGAAAAGAAGAGAAGATCAAATCCAATTAAAAAATAATAATAATAATAACATAGGCCCATGGTTCCCAAACTGTGCACCGGGGCACCCTGCGGCACCACAGCAAACTCACAGGAGCACAATGGGATATTTTAAATTTTGGAGAAAAACACAATCATGTCATATTTCGGACACAGTGAAAACTACTAGCTGGAAATAATTCACAGTTCCAACGTTAGACTCTACTACATTATATCTTTGCAAAGCTGAGTTTTTGGCAATTGATGTGATAAGATGCAAATAACTCATGAAAATCAATATAGAACAGGAAATGAGAGCATCAATGTCCGATGTGATTCCAAAGTCTGAGAAGTGCACATGTCCCATTAGTAAGTAATGGTGGTTATTTAAGAATTATATTAAATTTTTTATTTTAATTTGTGGGTATTATTTTTTCAGATGGCTCCTAAGTTGTCAGGACCAGAGCTATTAGGTTTTTCTTTTGGTCTGGAACCCTATGAAAAAATTACTGAGACACAAATACTGCCATGTTTGGGAACC